GGGACTACTAGGAATGAACAGGAAAAATCGAGTAACGATCAAGCTCACGACCTATCTAACCCCAAAAATCAAATCAAACAACCTTTTCAATCTCAACTCTCTTAACCTTAAAGCGTCATTGCAATTTCATCCAACCGAAGCTCCTTCCCCCGTAAAATCTGTACGAGAATTGCGTGCTCTAGTGAGAATCTTTACCAAAATCAAGCACCCACAGAGCACACTTTCTCACATCAACTGGTTTGTTTTAATAAATAAAGAAGGCAACGAATCTGTTCTCTCGTTGTGGATTGGACTTCTTGCCTAAACGATTTATATACAGCTTCTTGTCATCTCACAGACATATGTCTACTTTCTTGTTTCTTGCTACTCTCCTTTTTCATTCTTACTCATTCACTTTTTTGACAAGATTCATCAGTGTTATTGTTCAGCGCATGCTCGGACGACTAAGACGAATAACTGTCTATGAAACCGCGGGAAGATTCTATCTAGTAGGTTGTGATGCTTCGGGGACAAGATTCAAGGTGTTGAAAATTGACCGCATTGACTCCAAAGCTTTGCTAACGGGCGAACCGGGGTGCGACTACTCTAAAGAGGAGATATTAGAACTTCTCGCTACTATAACTGAAGGAAGTTCTGGTGAGGATGCGATATTACTTTAATTCTTGAAGAACTAGAGAACTGTTTTAGTGGTCTATAGATCTTCAGCGAGTAGCAATGGGAAGTCAGGCAAAAAACCTTCACCAGGACTTGTCGAAAGGATAAGCAACGCCTTCGGCTTGCTGGGTGTTGTGCGATTTCTTGAAGGCTACTATCTTATTGTAAGTTATTTGATCCTCTTTTTTCTTGCCATTTAGGCAATCTAACTTACCAGAGGTTAGAGAACCATTTAGTCCAAGTTCATCTTTTTTGAGATATTCGAAATACTTTTGCTTATACCACATAATCGTCTTTGAATGTCTGGCAGATTCTAAAGTATTCCAACAATTCTTGCAGGTCGTAACCAAGGCAAATATCATAGCGAGCTTTGGATATCACTC